AAATTTTTTTTTCGTCTTATTATTTTTTTTTTGTTCATTATCTGCTCATAAGTTCTTTAAACTTTTATTTTACAATCAATTTTGTTACCCAATTTTATAATTTTTATTACAAAAAAATTTTTTTTTGTCAATTATTAATTTTGTTTGTTACAATTGTTTTAAATTCAAATCAAATCAAATGCATCTCTTCTTTGTAGATTTTTGTTTTAATTCAGAGAAATTGTTTGGACTTTCAAAAATAGAAAGCGAAAGGCGAAAGAGAAAAAAAAGTGGAAGATAACAGAAAATTTTGAAATTTTATAGGATTTCAATTCAAATTAATGCTTTTGGGGGTGTGAAAATTTATGAAAATCTCAAGTAGCTGACTGATTATATTTAAAGACTGCAATTTTAATCTAACATAAATTTTTTTCAAATTTTAAAACTTGTTCATATATAAAAAAATTGCAATCTTTTATAAATCTCTAGCATAGCCTTGAGATTCTCCTTCAGAACTTATTGAATGTTGTGACACTGTCTCGAAACTGGTTCTTAATATTTTATAGAAAGTATTTAGACAAACGGGAATATTTTGCATATTTTTTTGGGACACATTTCAAGGACAGAATTAATTTAATTCTATTTTAAATTTTAAAAAAGTTTAAATGGGGACACTATGACATATATTTCTTCATTTTTAAATGGGAAGTTAATAAATTATAAATAAAGTATAGAGTAATAGCTTATAGAGGATTTATGCCAATATAAGAGCTATTCTGAGCAAGCTCATATAGTAAATTGATTCACTTCCTCGGCTGGGAAGATTTTAGCTTTTCCGATAGAAAACCATACAAGTAAGTTCATTGGTAAGTAGAAGTTATTCAGAGTTAGAATAAAATATATTTTTCAAATAGTAGAGAGAGAGTGAGAATGATAGAGAGAGATAGAAATATCTCACCTTACATAATCAAAGTAAAATTCATGACAGATAGGCAATAAAAACCAAAAACTTTAAAAAAATGAGAAAATTTCAATTTTTCATTTTCAAAAAATGAAAAATGATAATGAAAAACTTAAAAAAAATAAAGAAATAGAAAGAGAGAGATATAGACAGACAAAGGTATGACTTTTTTTTGAGGTAGGAAGAATAAAAAAACGAAAAAACATAGTTAAATATTTAAACACACATAACACGACGATGACACGATAAATTACGAATTATACATTGAATAAATTAGCACACAAAACCAATTCACGGTAAAGTTTGTTTTTAATTAAATTTAAATTTTTTTCATTTCTTTTTTTTGTGATGTCAAATCAAATAAATTGCATGGTGGATACGACTTTTTCATATTTTTCATTAAATATCAATTTCTTTCAACTCATTCAATTTTTTTTTATTCCTGATTAATAAAATGTTTATTTTATTTTATTTTTTGTATCGAATTCTGTAAACATCCAATCCTTGTTTTTAATTTATATCCAATTTTTTTTATATCGAATTAATGTTTGTATGTATGTAAATGAGACACACATCCCATCAGATATTTCATCCTTTTTTCAAGTTGTTTTGCGATCTTGCAAATAATATTTTGTTTAAAAATGTCTTTCAGAGATTTTTTCATCGAATATTTTTTTTATATTAAGGAGATACAAAAAAAGTGAGAGAGTAAGAGAGTGAGAGAGAGAAAGAGAAATAGGTGATTCTTTTATCACAAATTTATCTTCTTTATGGTTCATTTGTCTTTTGTAAATTGGACAAAGTCAATGGATATTTCGGTATATATAAATATTTATGTGTGTAGATTTATCAAAATAAAGATTTTCTTCTTATTTTGCTTTTAAGTATTGGACCTTTGAAATTTATTCAATGCCTCCTGGATAATAGATGACTGTTACAGCTAGGTTTAAAGGTTTTTTGTAATATTCAATTATTTTTTAATAATTTTTCAAGTATTTCAATGAAGATAAATTAGAATATAAAAGCCAAAGGGTCTTACATAAACTCAATCTGACCTTCCCATACTTTAACTTTTTGATCCTTAGTCGAGTTTTCTGACTATGGCCTTGTATTCAAGTAATATTGAGTCAAGTCTAACATATTCTAATGTTTCATGTTAAATTCCGTAAACGCGTTTGAATATTTTTGAAACTTTTAATTTTCAATCTTTCTTGAATCAGAAAAACTTTAAAAATCAAAGAATATTGACAGAATTAAACACCCATTAAAGTAATTTTAAACTTTCGAAATAATAAGAATTACTGATGTCAAACCCAAACCCGTAATCTACTCTCCGATAGAATCAAACTTCAAAAACGGAATTATCCAACTTATTGCAACGAAAAATCTATAACCAATAACATAAAACATTTTACAGCCCAACATATTTAAATTCTCTGCAAATCTTGACTTTTAAATCAACCCAAGCGACACAAAAGCTCCATTAGGAATCCATAGGACTGCATTTGCCTATTATGTCGATCATTTTATCTAATCAGGCGCGTAGCCAGTGGAAGATCAAAATGACAAAGCCCCCTATATGTTGATTTCTCTTGTCCCTACCACTTCAAATTACTGACTACGCCTTTGTATCTGATCAAAATTCTAATAATTTCAACCCACAAAAACACCTTTTCAAGACTAGCTGCAAAAGTCATCAATTTCCTGGAAATTATTCTATAATAAAAACATTACAGAGAGACAGAGAGTGAAAGAAAGACAATAGAAGTAGATGAGACAGATAGCTTAATAGAGTCAGTCATAGAATTGAGACAAACTGAAGACGAAAAATAAATAATTTTTTTAATTTCGAGGACAGTTGCTACAGCTATCGAAGACAGTATTTTTCATTACTTTTTTTATACTTGAGACAGTTGAAAGATTTTTAAGAGATTTTTCAATAATTTTTTTTATCTATTTTGAAATTCAAAAGAGTTTTTCAAGTGGAAACAAGTAACCTCAACCTTAGATTTTTTTTCTATTTGTTTAATAATCTGCTTTTGTTAGGTTATCGTTATTATTCCTTAAATTTTTATCATTTTTCTTGTAATTTCTTTTTTTAATATAAGTTCAAAAGGAAAATTTTGTGGATGGTCGATTGATTTTTTTTACAAAGCTTATCGATTGGAATACGTGATTTTATGAATATGCTGTAATTTTATTTTGTCTACGTGATTTTTCGAAGTTTGTCCTTTTTATTGTATAATGATGAGATTTCCATTGAAAATATTGGGACTATCCATTCATAGTTGATGTAATTCTATTATGAATTATATTACATGTGAACTATTATATTTCATAAATTGGGAAATACATATGGTTTTACTAAACGAGAGTAATAGGACGTTGTCATCACAAGTTTATGGTATGTAGGATGAATATTTTGGAAGAAAGGTTTGAATGAATTTTGCTGAATGTCCTTAAAATTTGTCTGATTTTTTTTTCTTCACATTTATTAGTAGATCCAAAATTTTACCACGGAAACCAAAAGTTTTTTGCGTTGTTTTACACAATTTTTTGCCTAAATTAAAGCTGGATTGTTTACAAAATATTTATGCGTATCAGACAAAATGCCGAGCAGCACAGCATAGTTGCCATGAGTATCTCCCTAAGTTTATGACTAGAAAATGGCGTTGTACTTAAGCACAATATGATTCTTCTTAATTAATATAGAGAATATAAATTTAAGGTTTATGCAGGACGTCAAGAAGTGAAATTTGCACTCGGATTTATCTTCATCTATTCTAAATAGAGAGTGTAGGTTGTCAATGCACGTGGGAACAATTCCAAGTCATATTCATAAAAATCATTTGATCCACAAGCATTTAATGATAAAAAGTTAAGGAACAACGTAGTTTAATCTGTTCAGAAGTTAATGTTTTTTCACCAAGTACATATTAAAGAAAATGAGTTAGAATTGAATTAGTATTTAAATATGTAACTGTTGTCTTAGCGGTCCATGGTTAGATCTATTTATTGGTTTTAGTAGTAAATATAAAATAAAGTTTGGGGAAAATTGTAATTAGATTGTTTTTTCTCCTTAAAAAAGATTTTATTTTATTTATTTATTTCCGGAAGCCTTAAATATTTATATATACCATAATACCTAAAATTTTGCATGTGTGTTTCTGATTTCGTTTCAACAACATTGTATCAAATTTTGGACGAAATTGTTGATAATGTTCATTTTCGGAAAAATGAATTTCTGAAGCGAAAATTATTATTTTGAGTAAGAAATTGATGAAAAGGTCTTGCCGATAAAGATTGCCAATCTGAAACTTTTCTGTAAATTTATTGTCTGCTCTATTTTTTGAAGCGAATAAAAAATTATAAAAACACCATCGATAAAATTTTAAAAATACCAATAAAAAGCAGTTGAATTTTATGTCTGCATTGCTGATGAATTTCTAATCTAATTAAACTTAAAATCACATTGAGATGCTAAGAACCACAAAATTTGTAAAAAAAACTTTAATTCTTTTGGATTTTTTGGTTTTGCGACAGAAAAGTTTCGTCCATAATTAAATAAATTTTTTCAAGACCTTTCCCCATTCCTTCTCGTTTTTTGTTGTTGTAAAACATCATCACCATTAATGAGTTTGTATTTAACTTTTGTGTATATAGGGGGAAAATAGGGGTTGGGATATTGGGGGGTATTTAAAAAGGGGGGTTCAAAAAATTTTGATTTCTATATAACTGATTAATTCAGGTGAGAAGGTAATTTTGTATATAAAATAATTGGATTAATAATATTATTATTATTACTGTTCATATTTTTTTTTGTTCATGAAATGGTTGGATAATTTCAATCGTTTTGTTTTTTGAATTTTTTTAATCAAACGACCGTGGATGGGGGTAAAATTATTTTTTGGTAATTAAAAAATCAAAAATCTGATTTTTTTTGTAGTTCTATTCAATTCCAAAAAATATTTTTATGTATATTTCAAAATCAAAAAATGAAATTTATAAAAAATTTAAAATCAAAAAAGAAGTAAAATGTGAGAGAAAAATCTTGTCTTACCTTGAGGCGATCCAGCCAGTTCAGCAGCGGCAGATTGCATTGAGTTGAAATCTACAAGAAAAAAATCAAAAAAAAAATATTTTAGATTTTTTTCATCAAATAAAAATTTTTTTTATGAAAATTCCGAGAAAAATTATCTTGAAATTTTCCAGCATAAGACTGCAAAGTAGTCATACCAAAATAGTACTCACTAGCAAGAGCATTTGGATCAGCGAGAGCAGCCATTGAGAAGTTGAATGAGCCGGGTGGAGGGAAGAGTTTATCGCTCGGTGACATTAGAAATGGAGGTGCTGTATGATTGTGAATACTTCCTGCTTCCATGTCATCCTCGTGTGATCCACTAAAATATTTTAATCTTTATGTGCACAGTTATCATAACAAATTATCCATTCGTAAAATATCAGGTACATGATCAGATGTCAAAGATTAATCAATTGAGCAACTCTTAAGCTTGAATTTGATCTCCCACATCTGACCACATTCCCGATTAAAAATATTTACCTAAGCGGTCCCTTTGACTCATTTCCATTACTCGAATGTCGATCGGCGTCAACAACTGAATCATTACTATGTTCATCCTCGTGACTAATGCTGTTACTAACTAATTCCATCGGTTCCGTCTTAACATCATCTGTTGATCGTGCTGAAGGTGATGGTGTCAAACTCTCCTTGTCTGTTGTTGATCCCAAACTTCCACCACCATTGCCATTTGTCGTCAAATTAATCGTCTCTTTTAAATTGTTGTTGTTACTGTTTGGATTGTTATTGTTTGTGCTCAATGTGTTATTATTGTTGCCTAGGATTAGAGAAACTTCATTTTATTAGGCTTGATTGCTCTGAGACATGACAATATCAATGATTGCCAGGCTGTAATACTCACCATTAGGTGTCTTTACATCCAAACGATCAGTATCTTTAATATGTGGCGAAATGTTATTCATGTGCTTAATATTGGTCGAGAAATCAGTTGCAGTAATCTGTGGCATGTGATTGATGATATCTAAGTTGTTGTTGTTGTTGTTATTATTATTTATGTTCGGACCCATGAGTCCACTATCTGGACGATGACGTTTCAATTGTAAATCATCTGAGTGACATGAGCTGTTGCGTTCACGTCTCATTGCAGCTGCAGCGGCGGCACGACGCAATAATTGATTGACAGTTGCGCCAGAATGAGCTGAAAGTAAATAATTTTTTTTATATCGATTATGTCCAATTGAATTTAGTCAAGCTTACCTGATGGATTATGCATATTATTCAAATGAGGTGGAGGTGATGCACCATGTGGAAATTGAAGTGCTTCCTCAACCAACTTATCAGTGAAACTTTGATGATGATTCAATGGTGTTCGTCCACCAGGTTGCGCCATACTTTGTACTTGAGCTAACTGTAAATTTTAATTATGTGCATCAAAAGATTGGAAAAAATGAAAAAAAAAAGTTCCGTTAGACTGAATGAATTAATTGAGATGGAATTAAATGTGACACATACATTGTGAGTCTCCTCAGCCTGTTGTTGTGTTAAACCAGACACACGAAGAACTTCAGCTGTCTTTAAAAAGGAACTCAATGAGCGTTGATGAACATTCACTTCACCGTGATAGATGAACTCGACGAGAGCATGAAGATCCGTAAATGCAACATCTTGAAGGACAATTACTGGATGTTTGCATGGGGTACTCTGGAAGTAAAAAGGAATAAATTTCATAAGTTTTGTGACAAAAATCAGGACTGAAGACACACGATTGTACAATCCAAAAAAATGAAATTTCTTTAAGAAACTCTTGAGAAAAAAAAAATGCATTTTTAAGTTAATGTTAATTGCTATCAACAACAACTGTGTGTGGTGTAATTACATAACATTCATGACTTTAAATAATGTCATGGAAGATACAAATTTTTCTGTCGTAAATGCCATAAATTTCATGTCTCCTTCTTCTTATTTTTTCTACACTTTTTATAAAATGTAATGCACACAAGTCAGCTTTCGCCCCGTAGAAAAAAAAGGCCAAAAAAGTGAAAATTTATGCAAAATGTATTCAAATTATAAGCTGTACAATTAGTTGAAGTTAATTATACACAACTTCTCATATAACAAATGAATTGAAGCAGGGGCAATGCGCTTAATTAGCAAACAGAAAAAAAAATATATTTAATCGAAAAAAATACTGAATTTTTTATTAGTGTCTGTCATCTAAATTCATTGCACTATTTTTTTGTCACTTTATTTGTCATTTGAAAAAAATATACGAATTTAAAGTGCAATGGTCGATAAACTGCTAGACGCTTTTATTTATATTTATGTGTACAATTTAGGCACTTTTCGAGGGCAATGATTGTAAATTTGCATGGAATTATTTTTGTTTTGTAAAGGAAATATCAAATTAGAGTTGAAATTGGTGGACTGAGTAATTAATTTGGTTGAGGTTTGATGATAAGTGAGAAAGTTCTTTTGATTTTCATGTTTTTTGAATTATGCTGCTCACTTGAATGATAAATTATTGAATTTAAAGAATCTAAACTTAATGGCTCAATAATCATATTAAAACTTGCGGATTGGCAATTAACAACTCACATTATGCATAATAGTTCAAGGCTTAAAGCAACAACTAAAAATCCACAAACTGACTATCAAATTCCATCTCAAAACTTCTCGAAAATACCACAAAACTTAAAATCCTATTAATCACTCAACTCCAATGACTCCAACAGCACATAAATACCCAAAAAAATCCCTCTCAACTCACAACAAACTCAAGAGAAAGTCCAAAAAGGAAACTACTTTTAAAAAATGAGATTAAATTCCAATTTTTCGAATGCAATAAATCGAGTGCATTAAAAATGTAAGCATTCAATAAACAAATGAGATATCCCGAGACGAAATTTAATACTTTTGAGACGTTAAAGTTTTTATTTTTTTATATCCACAAAAGCATTGAATAGTGAATAATGTAGGACAAAAAGTGTTTAACACATTTCAAAATTTCCATGAGTCAACAATGTGAGTTGTTTTCTACTTCTTCATTCTTCTTAATCACTCTTGCATCAGCAAAAAAAGAGGTAATTTTTGTCTGCAACTTAAAAAGTGCACATTTTAAGAGTGCCTTCAACAGCAACAACAAAGTGATGCATTTTAGAAAGTGTCCTTGACAACATTTGAGTTTGTACGAAAATATTTGTGGTGTAAAATAATGAAAGCTGTTGGACTTATTGTTGTTTTTGTATGTTGACATTTAAGGTTGTCGGTTCGTGGATGAATTTGTTTTGCTGATTCGAGATAAATAAGGATTGGGAATTTTTCGATAAAAACAAAAGACTTGAAAATTCACTTTCAAATAATTATAAAAAAAAAATCAAACATTTCCGATGTGCAATTTTTGCATTCATTCTGGAATCAACAGACAATTTTAAAAGTTCCTGTGGGGAAATTAAAAAAGTTGACATTGATGGCAAATTTTATGAACACAAGCGGAAAATTTTTCGCTTATCTATTTTTGTGCAAAATAGCTTTGAACTTCACAAAAATGGTCAAATCTATTAGAAAAATTGGCAAGTTTATATTGCAATTAAATTTTTTAAAGTCCATTAATTTTATTTTTCTATTTTTGCAAATAAAAGAAGTTGGAATCATTTGAAAGTTTCCAGAATTAATCATTAATTTTTTGAATGATTCAATATTTCGTATGATAACTCTTTTACTATTCATTCAACTATTTTCGCTAGTTTTGACTCTGAATCACTTTCTTGTTAGACAAATCTAAATTGATTTAAATGGATGATTTGATAGAATGAAGGCTCATGTCTTATTTAATAGCACAATTTAGTCTGATCAATTTTGGGAAACTTGAATGACGGAAATAAGCAATTAGTGGTTGTTCACACTTGAAAGACTTTAAGTTGCTAATTTTGTTAGATTAGGAGACACGATTTTGTAAGAAATTCGTATGATACATCCGTTTTATATCAAAATTATGGATTAGTATAACTTTTGAACCTCTGACGTACACTAAAGTTGTCAAATAATTAGCAACTGAGTCTCTACCGAAATAGATATAGCCAAAATGCTTAATAAATATCAAAACTTAGTCAAAACTCATAAAAATAAATTTCTCAGCCTCAATAACTCAACACAAATTCAAAAATCATCTCCAATATTCAGCAACTTAAAAGTAAATTTCCATAAATTTAATATCTCATCATTTAACTACTTTTAAAATCGAAATTGAATAACAAATTTATTTTTAATCAAACGATAATTTTTTTTTTGTGTAAGTTATGCGAGAAGAAATAAAAATGGGCAACGAAAATGAATGCAAATGTGCACACAAAAAAAAATAAAATAAAAATTATAATTGAATGAAATGAAAGTGCAGGCCATCGGGAAATACAACACGAAAAAATGAATAAATCATTGATTTGCAATTGTATATAATTATGAATGAATGAATCGAAAAAAAAAGTTGATGGCAATAAAAAAAAAAGATTTCGTTGGTTCCAGCCAAAAAAAAAATTGCAGTAAAGAGAAATTTGGTGGAATTCGTGTTCGGTGTGCTGCACAATTTTCAATGCTTCATGTATTAAAAAATAATTACGAATGCACGAAAAAAAAATGTTTTTGTGCTGCTGATTCTCTTCTTTTTAATAATCTCCAAAAAAAATGTTGAGAAGGGTACATAAAAAAATTGGCAAAATTCATTCACCGAAATAATCAAAAAAAAATCTCGCAATTATCATTTTTTTGCATTCACTATGAGTTGATTTTGAACCTTTTTTTCATCATTGCCACATCACTCATACATAACGTACAATAAATAAATGCTATTCACAACAACAAAAAAAAAACAGGCAGCAGAAATTGCATTTAATGTTATTTTTGTGCATCGCCGAAAATTTGCGGATGCGAAAATGCGGAGAAGGGGCTACGGCATATAATTACATTCTATTATTATTTGCTGACTTATTTCAAGCCACAAAACTCTCTCTCATTTTTTTCAAGTTGTGCATTTCAATTTTTTTGTGTGTACTTGCATGCTTCTTTTTTAATATTTTTCGGTTGTTTGCTACATCCGGCTTACAATTGAAACCACCACATGAAGAAAGAAAAAAATTCAAGTGTACATGAAATGCACATCGGAGAAGAGAAACTTTCATGACTTCAACTTGTTTCAACATCAATGACAAGAAGTGAAGGAGGAAGTAAGGATGATGCTAGTTTTGAAGGGATTTTGAGCGCTTTTCCTGCATACTAAATAATTTTTTATGTTAAATGCTATTCAGTAGTGTTGCGTAATCCTTTGATACCCTAATGAATCTACCCAATTCTAACATTCAAAGAATAAAATCATGATCTTGTTGATCAAATCAAGTCTCATGCTTTCAAACTTCATCTGTTCTATTTTCAGACAAAATGCAAACGCTCCAGCACAAAATCCCCTCCAAAAACTTCAAACTCCCAAATGTTAAAGTAAGAAGTGGCAAGACAAGGGCGACATATGTTTGTGCTACTTAAAAACACATTTTTTTCTCTCCTTCATGTAATTTTTCAGTGTACAATGTTCTTTAAATTGCATTAGCAAATAACAGCTACCGTTAACTTACCTTTAAGAGTTCGCGAAAGTAGGGACTACATGCTGATAACACAACGCGATGAGCTTTTAGGCTCCTTCCATCACAGGCCAATGTAACATCGACAAAATCCTCATCATCGCGAAGATTCTCAAATGCCGATGTAATGCTGCTCTGATAATTATTCCATCGCAGACAAAAGTGTTGGGTGTCCACCATTTTGCTGGTGTTGTTATTATTCTCCTAGAATTATAAGAAATAATTTTTTTTGGTTAATTTTAAATCTTCAATAAAATATCTTTCAATCATTGTTTTTGGCAAGATATAAGCACAAATCATGCCTATCATAAACTGTAATATTAACCATCTGTTGTTACGCAAGACGATAAGTTCTTTTTTTTTCGCTATGCTTTTACAATAAAAATAATATAATGTGTGTTTAAAAATAAACATAGATAACAAGTATTTTATTTTTTTGGATGAACACATCTATCTTTATTATGAATGAATGAATTGGTAGATTCTTTGGGGAGTAAGGGGGTTCTTATGGGGTAGTAACAAGAAGAAATGATAAGATAAAAAATAACGAAACTTTAATTTATTTAAACTTTAAAAATAGAATTTTATAGAAAAAGAAAAATCCAAAAAAAATCAAATGTTTTTTTTACTATTTTTAAAAAATTGAATTCATAAACATTTTTTAAAATAATATTAATAATCACTCAGCTATTGAATAATTTCTTAATAACGCTGATTTGTTTCTCTAATATAAGTCACCCTAATAAGATTTAACCTCAATAATTTCTAACCTTAATAATTTCTAGGAATTTATAATTAATAACTTTGTATGTAGCTTCTTTGGTACTGTTTGAAAAGTTTTGAATTTTCAATGAGCTTTGTCATATCATGAGAATGTAAATATTTTAAGTATGAGAAGAGCGGTTTTAGTTCTATTAAGTCAACCCTCGCTATTATCCCCTAACCGTAAGTCTCTAATCTCCAGAACTACATTCAAAATGACAAAATTAGCCACTTAAATTTCAATCAAATAAATTTCACCATCATATTTACTAAAATTTCAAATTAAACTTTTTTATTTTAATTTTTCTTAAATTCAAAGTATTACGCATAATCATGTATATACATTGCAAATTTTAAGTTCCAAAACTCCATTATTATCACCAATATTAATACATTGTGAAATTTGACAAACGAGAATTTCCTAAAATGTATAAAGCACACCTTATCAAGCTCAATTTCATTATCAAACCTTTCACACTATTTCATTCCTAATCTCATCATCATTCTAAAGAATCTCCTCTTGTTTATATTTTCATTTCTATTTTTGAAAAATCTTATTTAATGTCAAACAAATAATAAATTAAATATGTGTAATAATCGGTAGATGTTTAGAGAGGTTATGACATTAATGGTTAAAAATTAATTTATATAAAACATCTAGACAGAATATGTACATATGGTCTACGTGCATTTTTAAACTATTTTTTGAAAAGTATAAAGTGTTTTACAAGAAAACACTTGTGTTGTTGATATACTTTTATTCTGTGGTTCTGCGATAGTATGGAACAGAATTTAAGATTAGACTATGAAATTTTGTTTGTAGTTGCAGTTTTATTTTTCGCTTCTGGATTCGATTGGGGGTTTTTTGGGAATATTTATTAGACTTTTTTGATTTTATCTTTTTTTCGTTTACTCAACGAAAATAGTCACAACCTAATTAAATGTATTACAATAACTTAGACACTCATCATAAAATTAAGTGTGTAATAAAACGAATAAATCATGCAAGATTCACAAGATCATGGGAATTTTTCGTAGGACTTCAACTACATCTTTATCTTATTTTGATAAATTTATTGTATTAGAATTCTATCGTATTACATTTAACCACATGAGATATTATCTTGACATAGAGACAGGAAGGTCTGCGGTTATTATTTGAATGCACATCTAATGCTGTCAATTTTTATTCAATATTTTAAGTTTTATAATTCTTTTTTTAAAGGGAAAATAAGTCAGAAAATTTTTTTTTTTTCCTACATGAAACTTAATGAAATCCACTTTAAAGCCAAAAAAATCTCCAAATTTATTCTTTCAAACTTCCTCTTAATATTTCCTTCAAGACAAACCGGAATTACGTCTGAACTAGTTTCAAATTTTATAGCAAATTAAAATTAAAGAAATTCAATACTTCTATTAACATCCTGATCCACTTAAGTGACACGTTAGAACTGACTAGCACGATTAGGTTTTATATTTCGTACTATTTTTCTTTTTATTTCATTTAACTACAGACACGAGTACTTGATTGTTTTTGTTTGGAAAATAAAATTCTCCTAATTTTGCTTACTCTTATTAAAATTCAAATGCGGAAATAATCAGGAGCTTTCTCTATATTAGAATGTGATTAATTTGAAAGTTTATTGCTGATAAGAGCGAAAATTTGCTTTGATAATCTAAATAATAAATTGAATTTTGTAGTTTATCAGGTATGACCTATTAATATACATGAATAACATAGAAATATAACACATGTCGTCTCTAGTTTCAATGTCAAACTAGCTTTTGTGCTAATTTACAATTTATAGTTGTTGTATTTTTTGGGAAATTTCTATTTTGTTAAAATTAAATAGCTTTGGAGCTCGAAAATGATTTTTTAAGCTTCATATTATTTTATAAAAAAATATCAGAAAGTTCAAGAAGTTTAAAAACACCAAATAAATCAATCTAGTCACTCAATCCTAACAGCACAATTAATTTAATAAAATATAATTTTCAAAATTCCTTAATGCACATCTTTTTCCAAAATAAACCTCATCAAAGTCATAAAGTCGCGATTAAAATAATTTTTTGTTACTCTCATTTAACCTTGAATTTGATCATCACTGTCAAATTAGTTCTTTAAACTCTAGCTCAACGACAAAAACAAAAAAAAGAAAAATAAGACGAGAAGTGCAAAAATAAAGGCACACATATGCACGGAAAAGAGATGCGAATTTCAAAGTCAAGAGCGTGGCATCGCAGTGTCGTAATTAAGCACATATTTTTTTTTATCTGGCAAAAATAGAAGAAGAGACAAAGTCAGTATGAGTGTCGTCTATGTATCTTAATTCCTATAAATATCCATGATTTGGTGTATGCATTTGTCTATGTCGTGTTGTGTGTGAGGATGTTATAAAAGATGGGGGAGATAGTGGATATTTTTGGGATATAAAAACTGTAAATTTGCTGACATTTTCATATTCAGTAATGTTGAGTTAATGGCAAATTTTTATAATGTTGCAGCAATAAATTATGAAATTTTATTTTTGTTGCTGAATTTGAAGTTATTTTTTGGAATTTTTTTATCTTAATGCAAAGTTCTAGATTCTGACAAAATTTCTTTCAAAAAATGCAAAAATCTTCTTAGAAAATTAACAATTCAGACCCCATAGAGTGAATTAATGTACTTTTGCTTATCGTCGAGATAAAATGTTTATTAAGTGAAATAAAACGAGGAAGGCAAAAAAATGGGAAATATCCAGTTAGAAAACAGACATTTTATTAATGTCAAACTATGAGCTGCACTTGCACACGCTTCATTTTATTATATATCATAAGTTATATTCTTGCAGAGTAGCAAAGCCTCTAAAGATCTCGATGTTCTTGTCAAATTTTAAAAAAAAATAAAAGAATTTAACATAATTTATTTTGTAAACCTATTCACTCAAAATTCACCAATAATTCTGTTTAAATTATAGCCAAAAAAATATCACAAGAAATATTCTTCACATCAGAAACTCCAAAACTGAATTTCGAACTACGAGCTATTCATTCTCTTCTTCATATTCCCTACAGCAAACAAAAAAAGTTATTTGCACAACGAAAAATGAATCTAAATAGTCGGAAAGTGAAAGAAGAAGACAAGAATTCTATTTTTTCAAGTGCATACCAATACATCATCAACATCAAGACACACATTACCGCATATGCGAGTGTCTTAGAAACTGCAAAGTTTCAATTTTTCGTTGATTACCCGAAAATTAATTTTGTATAAAAAGTATATGGTTGCTCATGAAGTGAAGTTCTAATGTATGGAAATGAAGAACATGTGTAATGGACAAGAAATTATATTTCGACCTTGAACAACTAACCGCAACTATGACGCGGTCTATTTTGACTAGATTTCGTTCTTTTTCGGTTATATAATGACTGTCTGACTTTGAATATATTTTTTATTAGCAAAAAGTGAGGCAATAGAGTGTGGCATAGAATTAAAATTAGATTGGGATTTTCTTCTTATCCTGATAATTTGATATTTGACTTTTCCCAGTCACATTTCAAGTTTTTTAATGCTATTCGATTTGATAATTTATCATTATAAATATAAATAATTTCGCGTCGATTTTTAGAACAAAGAAATAAAATGCAAAAGAGCATTGAACAGTCTATTAGCAGCAGATTGGATTTATTTTGAATTTTTGTATAAAAATTTGATTAGCAAATAATTGAATTAATTTAAACAATTAGTCTAATGAATAAATACAAATATATCATTGATGATAATAGATAATGTTTGTGAATTATTGAATTTTAGGCTAAATTTGAGGTTCGAAGATAAAATGTTTAAAGAATCCATACAAAATCAACCAAAATCCCCTTCAAAAATATCCCTAAATCTTCTCCCTACCGAACTTACTGCACTATTAATGTCAATAATACTCCAGACAAATCTGCGACTCATAAAGCATTTAAAGAACAACCAAGAAGAAGAAAACGAGAAATATTTTTGTACAATAATTTATTCAATTTATCAGACAGACTAGTTTTTTTTTTGTCTTCCTTCTTATTCCTCTCCATCTCAAATACACTCATAGCTCGCATATTCATTATTATTTGCAACATTCTAATGAACAGCAATTCCCGAAAAAATAATAATATTAAGAATAATAAAAACGGAATGATCCCAGACCTAACGAAAATCACAAAAAAGAGGAGAAGACAAGAATCGCAGACGAGAAAAAATAAATAAATAAAAATATATGGAAAAAAAATTGTTCGGAACGACATTCTGAGCTATTAGACACAACTAAGCAGGCTTTATATGAATAGTTTTTTGACTGTCTACTTGCTGTATAACCTTGAAACACATTTTCGACTGCACAGTCTACTTCTTACTTCTATTCCCTCCATTCTATTCTTTATTCCAGACGGACAGAGTCTAAGAATGAGATATTCGGCCA